GAAAAAGTCTAAGAAGATATAGACGTAAGTTTAGGAATATTCAGATTTCCAAAAAAACCTAGTACCTAAAATTCTTATAGTACTTGTTGGTGAACTTTGTCTATTTGAATAGAATCATGAAATTACGGAAGGTGCATTGAAATTATCCTCTCTTGTGTCATTACTATCGGAAATTTATTTTCTTAGAAATATGAATACTGCTGTTTTTTGTTTGTTAATTGAGTACAATGTGTGGAAAATGTACCTGTTTTCTAATCTTACAGTGTTTCTTTTTTCAAATACTAATGATTAAGACTATCACAAGAAGCTAAAGATTAGCAGAGGAAACATATCTTGTTTTTTTTTTTTTTTTGCAGAACAGATGTTGAAAAGTCGATGAGAATGCACACGGAAATAAAATAAAAATTCTATCAGTTATTTGAGAGAATAAAACAAAATAGAAGAGATAAATTTCCAAGTATTGTTTTTCAAAATAATTATAGAAAATAAGTTATATAATGTCTTTGTAGATAAATTAAACAATCATTTGTATACGAGAAAATATTTAAACAGTAATTTTGTCGACTAAGAATTTATTTTATCTTTTACCTCGTCATTGGCAATTGGAATTATCTTTTTTTTAAAACATTGCAAAACACAGGATATTGAAAAAAAAAACTCCTTACACATAACGTATGAGGAATTCTCTAAGCTATCAATTGACAAAGAAAAATATTTTGTATCATTGCTCTGCTTCAAACATATGCAGCTTACAAAAGAGACAACTAAGAGATTATTAAGAAAAAAGGACCTCCTTTGTTTTTTTTGAATTGCTTCTTTTTTTTAACAACGAGAAATATTTATCTTGGTATTGTGCTATGCGATATCGATGAAAGTTGTTGCTATTATATAAAATGCCTTTCAAAACTTTCGACATCAATTAATTGAACTAGACATTGTACGATATAGAAGGGTAACTAGAGTATATATGATTGTTGTTTTCTCTTCTCATATGTGCAAAGCTTCTTTCGATGGATTTTGGTGTAGTGCTTGAAGATCTTTACTTCACCACATCTTACACTCACATCCCGATTTACTTATACTATGAAGCTACTGAATAGGTCAATACTCAATCTTAAAAGTTGTTCTATTAGTGACTTTTCTAGAACGGTTATTGGGAAGTAAATGGTTAAAAATACAATGTTTGAGATTTGAAGTGTTTCTTTTTTATTTGTGGATTTTGTCTATCCAGTTGATTCTCGTAACAAAAAAAAGTTTTTGACCTTATCAATTATTAATCTTTATGAAATAGCAAAGACACGATGTCCTATATGACTCCAGCAGCTTCCAGGAATATTTTTCAGGGATGTTTTTGAATCTTTTTATAAATTCTGTTACACATCTTATCATTAAACGAAGGTAATTACTCTGAGAGAAATTACTCTGCTGATGGCTCACATGTCAGCATTATCTTTCCTTTGGCACAATGGAACTTTATTATATGTTATCAATAGATAAATCCGATAGTTTAAATAAATACCAGTAGTTTCTTAATATGCTAAATAACATAAGAGGAAAATTGGTATATTAAATCTAGTCTTATATTAAGTCAACAAAGTTGTTTATTATTTATTTGAATTTATACTTGAAAAACAATAAAAACTTAATTTGATAATAAAACTGATGTTTTTTTGCAACATTTTGTTTTCAAACAATAAACCTATGCGTCATGATCTACACGAAAGTATTTTTGCCACTCGAAAATAAGACATGACTTTTTTTGTATTATTTTGATTCGATACAATCTTGATTAAAAATAGATTGTGATCCAGTTCACTAAGTTTGTATTCGAGTTTTCGAATCAGTTATTATTATTTTTCAAAAATGATTGACTAATTCTTATTTATGAGTTTCTTGTCTTATTAAAAAGATAGTCTTTTGTTTCCATTTAATTATTATCATAATATTAGTATGCAAAAATATACACATTAAAACAGAGACAGGTCAAGCCTACGAAAAATAGGTCGATTTAGACTGCTAATAGTAATTTATTCGTTTACAAGTATATATCAAGAAAAATGTTCTATTAAATGAAATTAGTTTTTAACGGTAAATTATTTTTTATTAATCGTCAACAAGAAAAAAAAGAATAACATAAAGTTATAATAAACTTTTTCAATGATTATTTATACGAAAAATAAAAAATAATGTTGTTTGATTTGTTCTTCATTATCAAGAATTATTCTTGATTAGATTGTGAATTCGACTAAATAAAATAATCAAAATATAATTTTAGTTTTCGAATAAAAAATCAATTATACTTGTACATCTCGTAGTAATCGTCGACAAGCATAACAAACATGAACTGGATCATTACTAATTAAATAAAATTACAAAAAAAAAAAAGAAGAAGACTTTTAAAAATAAAATATCAAATACCTATCAGAAATTGTATCGAATAGTTGATGAACAAGTTTTTTTCTATCTTGATCAGATAATAATGATTGATCTTCATCAAGATCAAGTGGATAACAACATAAATTACATCGTTCAGGTTTTAGATTTTTTTCAAGTTTATCCGATGTTCTAAAACGAAAAATTTCGATAAAATATCCATATTGCATTTTTGTTCAGTTCGAATCATATGGATAAAGAAGAAATAATTCCTTACCGAAATATTGTACTAACTGTTGAAGGAAATTGTCTTTGTAGATCATTAACAAGTGTTTCCGTAAGTTTAAAGATTGATGATTGAGTACCAGACTATTAAAAAAAGTATAATTTTAAATAAAATAAATGCGGAAACTTCGGATTTAAATCCGAGAGTTATGTGTACTTCAAAAAGTGAATCATACAAATCAATCATCCTAGACTGTCTGAATATCAAAAT